ACATATCTTCTTATATTACTTCGTCTATTGCCATTTCACTTTAGTGCATTTCTCCTTAAACGACTTGGAATGCTTGAGGCTTATAGCTGGCTTTGGTCCTGGCTTTGGTTTTGGTTTTAAAAATGATCTATAAAAAAGGTGGTTGGGTTTATGTTGAGCTTTTAATATGCCTAGATTGAGGGCGATTATGCACGCACTATTTATAACGCGCAAGAGCTTTGCTTGAAGGAGTAAGAGGAGGAGGAGGAGGAGGAGGAGGCGGGCAAGGAGTAGGAGGAACGAGAAGACTTTTGTAGCCTAATGAACGCCTGGTTTTTTGTGCCAGCATATGCTGCCCTGCTGCCCTGCCCAGTTGGCCCACTTTGGGCCACCCGCTTCGAATTTTGCGCTGACATTGATTGATTATAAATCGGCATACATTGCAAATCTAAAGCGTACACAATAACAAAATGTTGCTGTTGTTGTTGTTGTTGTCGTTGTTATTGTTATTGTTGTTGCTTATCCTTTGTGAATTGTTGGCGCTGCGGTTGCCTTTTGTTTGGCCTGTGACAGCTTTTAATCTAGCCAAGCACGAGGCAACAGCAACGGCAGCAGCAACAGCAACAACAAAAGCAACTAAAGTGCCAGACAGACAGATAGAGAGACAGACAAACAGTTCGACCATTGAGCTGACATTAACTAGTTCAATTTCAATGAATAAGTTCAATGCATCATTTTGCAAGTCATGAACTGTACCCTATATACCACTCAATAGTTCAGCTTGAATGATTTGTATTGGAATTGTAGTTCAATTTGAAGTTGGCATACACTAGTTCATTACTAATGAACAAGTTCAGTAGTTCATTTGACGAGTAGTGAACCATAACATAATTTTTAGTCTCTAGTTAAGTTTGTGCTGCAATTCTAATGCAATTTTAAGTTAAAATATATAGTTTTGTTCTAATGAACAAGTTCATTGGTTCATCGTGCAATTGTAAGTTACAGGGTTAAATTTTTTTTGGTCATTTGATCAATGATCAAATAAATGATTCATTTGTGTGAGAAAAATAATAATAATTTTATGAATCAGTTAAAATAATTCATTTTGCGCATCTTAAGAGTTACAATTGAAAGATATTCTTCTATATAGTGAGGTGCCTCTACTTGTTTTTAGTGTCACTTTAGTATTTATTATTAAGCTATATTGTCAATTGCATTTATAGTTCACTTTTATGGACCAGTTCAATTGAACTTATTCGGGCCGCACTGGCAAACAGACAGCTGGACAATTATTTGAAAATCACTTTAGTTTATATACGAACACTGCCTGAGACTTGGACCAGTTGTCATTCGGCGCGTCTTAATGGAGATGCGGTCCAGGGCGCTAATGATGCGATCCATGCTTGACCCGCCCCGCAGCCAAATGTCTGTATATGTGGCGTATACGCAATATGCGCTTAAAACCTATAGTTGGGGGTGCCCAATTGATGGCACGTTTTTGATTTGAATTGCTGTTGCGTTTGTAGTTCGAGAGTTAAGAATCGACTTTATGTGCTCTGCTGTGCTGTGCTGTGCTGTGCTGTGCTGGGCTGGGCTGTGCTGTCTGGCCTATATAGGTTGCTTGGCGCCATTTTACGTAGCAAAACAAAAGTTATGGCCCAATTTTGTAGACCCATCAACCACCCAATCACCCATCCGACCACCCAATCCTTCTCATAGAGTGGAGCAGGGTCTTGTAACAAGTGGGACATTTGCCAGTTGCTGTTGTTGTTCTAGTCAATGCTGCTGGCAGCAATAAAAACAAAACATAACAAAACAAGTTAAAGTGCTCGAGGCGAGAGTGCGCGACTAACGTATACCCAATCAAATTTAGACTTAGCTATGGCGGGCTTTACTTCAAGTTTCATGCTACATGGATTACATATTGCGAGATTTCTGATTTTATCAATATCATTTTATTATTCACACCTTTTCAGAACTGAATCGATTCTTGTCGTCTGCTCAAGCTTCATTCGAGTTTTATTTTCTTTAATTATTTATCAAAATTCCAAATTACTTGATATGTCCTGCTCCTCGTTACATACAAACGCAGCTAAACAATCTACCCTCTTAGCCAATTGTAATGGCTGTGGGGTATTACAAAAAAAAAAGAAGAATAAAAATGTTTACTTCGGAAGGCGCCATCCTTTTTATTTTTATTTATAAATATATTTTTTCTTCTTTGCCTTCGGCTTGGACCTGCGTCCTTTCGTCCTTTAGCGCCCCGGGTCTGAATCCAAAGTTTTATGCGTAAATCGGCATAAGTATATGTGTACATAATGCGATACATATACCAGGGCCCCAACTATGATAATTTTACAGCAACACAATCAACAGCAGTTGCCAGTCGAAGTAGCAACAACAGCAGCAGCGGCAGCAACAAGGATAACAACGACAACGAGGACAACAACGACAACAAGGACAAGCAACCATCAGCAAAGTCAATTACGTGGCGCTTTCACAAATCTTTGCCACAACAATCGTGTGCGTAGGCATTTTGATGTGGGGGCGGCGTCGGCCGGAGGTGGAGAGCCGTTGGCATACAGCCATTGCAAATTAATAGAGAGAGCACACACATACCAACACACACACGCACACACACGCATAAAATGTAATGTCATAAGTGCTGAACCTAAAAACACTTCGCTTAAACATTTACCACTCATATCCTTTGCCCTACGTACTTGTCGTAATAGAAAAGTGCCACACCCACTAGCCTAGCCAGTCCACCCCGTCAACTCTGGCTCAGCTTTTGCCCCACTGTGCGTGCGCGTGTGTGCGTTGTGGCTCTAAAGATGCGGATTAGTTATGCTTTTGGTTCGTGGCTTCCCCTTTAATTCGCTGGTTATGCATTGTATTACTGTATATTGTTTGTTCGTTGTCTTCCTCTTGCTGCTGTAATAAGTGCATTCACAAGCTCACAAATTGGCAGACACTGTCAAAGGATTTGCAGTAAAACTGTTGCTCCACGTTGGCATTGACGTCGCGTATTGGGCAATGCCTTGTGTTTGTCTGAGTCCTTGCTGAGTCCTTGCGATTTTGTTTTGTTTACTAATGAAATTAGTAAAAATATAATAAAAATCTAAAACATATTTGTAAAATTAAAAAAATTAAAAGTTATTTATTAGTATTATTTATTATAAAAAATTAAATTTAATTTTAAAACATTTATAAAAAAAAAAAAACAATTTTTAAAACAATAAAATTGCATTACAAAATAAAAAAATATTAATAAAATACAAATTGAACAAAAAAATAATACAATATATATGAAATACATTTATTTTTATTTTTTAAATTTGAATAAAATAAGTTTAAAAATATTTTATCTAAAAGTTTTCGTCTGTCTAACTTGTGCTCATAAAACCTTTTTAACTTTTTCTTAAAATCGATTAAAATCGATATTAGGTAGCGGTTACCTTCCGAGTTACGCATTTCCGAGTGGAAAACACTCATTTCTTTAAAGCTAATTTAATTGCAAATGAGAATTAGTTGAAGTAAACTTGCGATTGCATCTATAGTTGCTGGTGTTGTTTTAGGTTAACTGAACTGAACTGAACCTGATTCTAATTGTCAGGTTAAGCCACAAGAGTGTGGAAAATCCTGGCCTATACGCAATTCTAGCAATGGCTCCATCTCCCGCTCCATCTCTTGTTGCATGTTTTAGATGATCCCAGGCAATGAATAGCCAGCTTAGCCCAAAATGGTCTGCAGGATTCAACTGACATTTGGGGGATGTGGGGGCGTAGGGGGTTGGTTTCGGTCGCATTAGTGTATGCCCTTCTTACGCGCCATAAAATTTAAAAGCGAGCAAAGCATTTTTAGCTCTGGCTGGCAATTTATTAGGCCGTCGCGTAACACAATTGCCTTCATCTGTTGATAAATCCTTGGCATGCCACCAAGTAAATTGAAAATATATTGTGTGTGTGTGCGTGTGCGGGTGTGTGTGGGTGAGTGTGTATCCAGACTCCTGGCCAGGCCTGGAATAAGCAAGCGTGTGCAGCCAACTGTGGCGCAGTTCTAATTATCCACGCACATGTCTCTGCCAAAGCTAAGAGAAGAGAGCTAGAAAGGGGATGCTGTGTAGGAGATGTAGATGTACAGCTAACTGGCTTTAAGCACATTGCAAGAAGAATCCTTTTTTGGCGACAATGGTAGCTGCTACTGCTATTGCTGCTGCTACTGCTGCTGCTGCTGCTGAGGTATCCAGCGTTTCGCTTCCGTTTCTGTCTTTTATATGCAACTGCATTGGCCGCCCGCTGTTAGCGGCATTCAAAACAGCAGCCAGCAGACAGAAGACAGTCCGCCCGTCCGCCACTCAGCCACCGAAGCCAGCTCACCAGCTGTGCAGCTGCCTTTGCTTTCGAAGTTATGAATTTTAAACATTTTCGTGTGCCAGAAAAAAACGCCCTTGCAGGCATTGCCATATATCCATATACATATACGTATATACATATATACATAATTTATTGCGTAGCAAAATCTGCACAAAAAACTTTATTATAAAACTTAAAGTTAAACTTCATACGTAAATAAGCTTGTGCTATGAAAATTGCTTTTTGACATCATTGTGAATCAATGTTACTGTCATTATGTAGCCATATACCTGTATATGTATATTTATATAAAATAGTTGAACGTTTATATGTATAAGTATAAACTCCATTATAAAACTTGAAATAAAATCTCTTTGAACCTTTCCGAATTTCGATTGAATCGATTCAATTGATATACACTTCAGACTCGGCCAGAATAATTAATAAATAAATGTAAGTGTGTCGGGTCAATTTTCTATAAGTTTTAAGTTAATGAATTGGTATTTTTAAGTTCTATTTCAATTGGCATATTACATATCTACATTTAAAACTACTAAACATTTTGAAGCACATTTAAAAACCATCACTTGTCTTAAAAACAGAAAGTACAAAATTTATTACTATGCAAGTTAAGATAAAACTCAGACGAAGAAAATACTTTAAACAATTAAAAGTGAATTTTGGAATTGAAAGAAGTGTTTTAAAGCTACTTTGTTTTCATTGTTTCTTTTTGTTAGTGTCAATTATTATTGGAAGTACGCCATATATCGACATCGGTTTGCAAACATTTTCTGTATTTGTAGTTGTTTAAGCCGATGGAGTACATAGGATTTGAGGCCTTATAAAAGTGTAGACCACGTCCGATTTTTATTATATACCCATTGCTTAAGCTATAAATAAAATACAAAGATTAGATAAGCTCTACGTTATAATATATTATATAATATATATATATATTACTTACAATATTTTGCGATCGTGTAAAGTATCTTCAAACTTGATGTAGAAGACGACTTGACGACGTTCTAGATCGGCTTTAATTTGGCCCAAATTGGTTTTTTGTTGTTCCAAATTGTTGGTATCTTTTTTGGTGATCAACCGAAAGTATTTCAATTGCTTACAGTTCGTCACGGCCAGCTCCAAAAAGCGAATAAGATTTTGAAACTAAAACGAAAATGAAAATTTTCGCTGCAAACTTTCTAAAAGTATTGAAATGCTCACCTGATAGTTTTGTGTTAAGTACGGCTCTTCGAGCATAATTTCAATTGTATCTTTGTTCATGTATATGCCAAATATTTGATCGTAATCGTTGCCAATATCGTTTTCCTCGATTGATAGGTGGTTCACCACCTCGCCCAGCATCATTTTGCCATTGACCCTTGCTTTGATGGCATCTGCACGATCAATATACTCTCTGATTCTAGTTAGAAACCCTTTTTTCTTCACTTCATCCGGTTCACTATGTACAAATGACATTAAAAGCTCAATACCATCTTGATAGAGAGTTTGGGCTTCCAAAATTCTACCACTCTGATCGCACTCGACAGCGCGTATCAATAAGGCTTTAGCTTGCATTGCATCGCTCATATTGTCAGATATTAAATACTTTAGTATATTGGTTGCCTACACTATACTGTTAGATATTTATAGTTATACATATAAATATGTTTATTTATTGTTTATTTGCACGATATGTGTTCATTTTTTGTTTTGATAGCAAGCAAGCGGTTTCTGAAATCAGCTGTTCAGTGTGGCAGAGTTTCTTCAAAATACTAAATACCATAAAATGTGTGATTGTTGAATATCAGCAAAACGAAATAATTAATGTAATTATGTGATTTATTGTATAATAATTGACGAAAATGGCATACAGATACATATTATTTTTTATTGTATTTAATTTATATTTATTTTCAATTAAAAGCAACAATCTCGTTAAACTTTTAAACACTAAATATGCCTGCAGAGAAATACCGGAAACGGTCAATGGATAGTCGCAGTTAATGAAAAAAATGGAAAGCGATAATCGTAGACAGCAGTTGGGACTCATTTATATTGTTGGCTTGCTTGAGGCATGTAAAGTCATAATCATTAATATTTAATAATAAAAACAAGTATGTCTTATTTGGTCCTTTAATACTGTAATCACATACAGCTTGTTTAGTAAACTCTAATAATGACATTAACTAAACCTGAATCTCGGAAATGCCCAATACCTATCGAAAGTAGTTTTGTGGCGGAAACGATAATCAAGCGGCACACCGGCCGTTGGGTTTTAAATTGGCTCGCCTGCTATCGAGCTATGTAGGCAAACAGTCCAATAATGTCATAAATATTCAGTTTTCGTTTTATGTTTATGCCACTTACAACCAATTACCTGAAAACGAAAGCGTTTTATCGTCAGCTAGCAGCCAGCAGCCAGCAGCTAGCAACGCACAGCTCTGTCCCTGGCGGACACCGGATACTCGTAAAGAAATTGAATTTCACTAAGCCAAATATTAATTTATTTGTGTTTTCATTTCTTGCGCATTGGCAGGTGATTGACCACGAAGGGGGCGAAGCTGCGGACCATTGCTGACTGTGGCTTTGCGCATCCAATCGAATTCGAAGCATTTGGGTGATGACTGCTGTCCAGTACTTTTATTTGTGTCATAAATTTTAAGCCATTTGGGAGCTGTGAACGTCAGCATTTAAATGCTTTCCAACACACACTCACACAAATTGACTGAAGGCACAAGTAGCAGACTTCAATATTTGTTTAGAATTTGAAATACTTTAACGATATCAAGACTCTACCAACTTTAATCTATATATATTAGAATACTGAAAGTACTCGTGTATATACTAAAAATTATTGCATACTTTCAGGCTGTTCTTTTTTCAGCTGCTTATATATATATATATATAATATGATATATATAATATCATTTATGTCTAACATTATATAGTAATGCAAACTATTTAAAGTCTAGTTACAGAATAATAGTTTACTGAATTTTTGTTTTATTTTCTATTTGCAATGAACATTTCTATCAAAATTATTATTTAATAAACGACATTAAATGCTTTTATGCAACAGCCTGAAACTATGCAACAATTTAAGACATATCCAAATTATTCGCCATCTGTGATAAGGACATCTTCTATTTAACTTTTTTCGTTTCGCTTGCACAAACATTTAGCCACTGTCTAATGCCACTCTCGACTAACTTTTCTTTGGGAATTAACTGAATTGTATCTTGTAAAACACAAATTCAAGTGGGCTAAAGCCCGTTTGCTGCTCAAGGCTTCAGAGCCTAGAGAGCTTCTTCACATGTCACCCAATAATGCCCTGTGTGATGTGCGAAGCCACTTGCCAGAGGGTGCGGGGACTTGCGCTGGGCGGCGGCATGGCCAGGGTCTGGGCCTGGGTCTGCCGTCCGGGCCGGGGCAATGGTTAGCTCATATTACGTTTATCTTGGCGCCAGCTTTTTATCGACGATTATTTTCCTTCAACTGCTATGCGTGTGTGTGTTTGTTGCTACTGTTGTTGTTGTTGTTGTTATTATTGTTGTGCGTTCAATATTTGCTTGCTACTAGCTACAATTCTCTCACTCTCTCTCTTTATCGCTCTCATTCAGACTGTGCTTCCTTTTTTCCGCAGCCTTTTTCTCGTTGATTTTTATTTGTTTCTCTTTCAATTTATTTTGCCATTTCGTTTTCCTTTCTGCTGTCATTGTTGTTGTTGTTGCCATTTTCATCGCTTTTATTACAAATACAAGCAACACAGACACACACAAACACACACACATACACATACACATACACATAGATACATATGGGTAGCTCTAACATTGTGTGTCCTTCACAGCCGCAGTGCGTGTAGCTTTCTGTCTATTTCTCTCTCTCTCCCTCTCCGCCTCCCTCTCATCCTCTGTGTATTGCGTGTGTGTGTCTGTGTGTGTGTTTGTTTGCTACTAAATGTGCTGCTCAGTCCGCCACTCATTTATGTCGTCGATGTGCCCCGCCTTTCGTTAACGTTTCAGTTTTCCACTTGATGCTATTTATGTTTGCTTCCATTTTTCAAGAAGGATCAAAATTTATATTGGCTAAAAAGTCCCTCGAGAGCTTTCACACAGCTTCCTTACAGCTGTAACAAATTGTAACACAATCGTCGAACTGTTCAGCCCAAATCATAACCTCATGAACTTCGGACCAGGACATGCCAGGACACTCGCCATTACAGCTGGCTTTTGCCTCGACTCGACTCGATTCTCATCTGTGCTGCGAGCAATTGAATTGAGCTGCAATTGTTTTGATTTTGTGGCCCCCAAGGCCTGCGTTATTCGACGTATCCTTCACACACACACACACACACACACACACGACCACTCATATCCTTAAATTCAGCTCATATCCTGGCGGCTATATATGAGTTGCTTTCGTATTTATCGCCGCACTTTCGTCAAGTGTGTGCAAAATGTAATAAACAATGGCAGCAGCAGTATCTCAATTTATGTAGCTGCTCCTTAAAGGTGAGAGTGCTAGTTGGTCCTAGCGTGTCCTAGTTGCTTGTGGTCTTAGTCCTGGTCTTGGCCTTTGTCTCCCCTGTTTCGGCTGCGCGTCAGTTTCCAAATTAAGCACACAAATTGATGATGTTAACAATGACGATACGAAAATTGACTTCGCTTGCATGACTGGCAAACAAGTTTCACAGGACGAAAGCTGCGGGCAACAACTCAAATGGAAATGGGAAATAGCGAATGGCGAATGGCGAATGGGCAGGATTTTTGGTGTGGGCAACTATCGCAGCCATATTTCATATTTCGAGCAAAATGGCTTTAATGTTTTCACATTTGCTTTGTTTAGCTTTGGCTTTGATGGACGCCAAGCTTCTCCCCCAGCCCCAACCGAGCCAGTCCCAACCCAGCCCAGCCCAGCTTGGCCCCGGCACAGGATGGCTCGACAAATCAATTGAAAACTGACAGTTGTGACTAAACGGCGCATATTTCCTTGACATCTGCGCTGGAGTCTGTGTCTGTAACATATACACATATATGTATGTATATATAGATGTATATGTGTGTGTGTGTGTGGATTTCATGCATATTTCTGTATTGGATTTCAGTCCATTACGCGCAGCGTTTGGGAATTGGATATTGGCTTTTATATGAGGCCTGTTGCCTGCTGCTGCTCCTGCTGCTTTTACTTCACTTCTTTTTTTTTGTTTTGGGTTTTGGCTCTCTGCTTGCATTAACGAAGTTCACGCACGCTAGAGGCTAAGAAAATGTCAGGAACTTGATTTATCCTGTCCAAGCGCTGCGTGTTTGGCCACAATCAATCGATTGCCACAGCCGGCTGTTTGTAACTGTCGTTCAGGGCGTGCCTAGGCTTCAGGTCCACGACGAGAACTGCCTGCGCCCACCAACAAAAAAAAAACGATTCTATTGGACCTTGCTTTTCTGTTGCTTTCAATCAAGCATGATCGACTGCCCGATACTTGTTTAGAAAATTGACATTGAAATAATGAAACTTGAATTTGAACTTGATCCTTGAATGTAGTTTGGGATATCTATGGATATCTTCATATCAGTTTGATCTTTGGAGGTTTATAGATAAGTTCCATTTATGAAGATCTATAGATCAGTTATATCTGTAGAGATCTCAAGATCAGCTCAATCTGTAAAGGTCTAGGTCAACAATAAAACAAACAGTAAAAGACATTTATATATCTTTCTCGATTTACCTAGCTTCAGTAGACGTAGATAAACAGGCTCTAAATAGATGAATAATATATATATTCATATATATATTAAAAGTTTCATATACATAGAGATGTTCAACTTAAACCCTGCGCAAAGCTAATATACTCTCATTTTACCACAACCTGAACGAGTATCAAAAAATGGCAACAGCAACAATTACGACAAGGAAACTCAACCAGGCAACAGCTGAGCGAGCGCGCACAGTGCGATAATTAAAATCCGTTACGCGCCCTATAATTAGTTGCATAGGCTCCAACTCGAACTCGCGTTCGAGCCCGAGCTGAAGGCACTCCTCCTCCCTGGCTTCCTGTTCCTCTTGCTACATTCATTCACATCCGGCCTGCTCTATATATATGCATATAGCTATCTATTTTTATGGACATGTGCGTAAGCGATCCGTGCGAAAAATGGGCGCTTCGCGGCAATTACCTTTAGCTCCATGGGAGATTCATCCAATGCGATAAGCGCCCCAATGCTTCGACCTGTTCAGTCCTTGGCGTATCTGCCCGTCTCTACGCACCTTTTGTTCGTCATGCAAATCAGTTTGACTTGACTTGACTTGGCCAAGGACCTCACACACACACGCACACACAGACATGTGCGTAACACACGCTTTCAGTTAGCCAGAGACAACAACAGAAACACCTACACGTAACGAGGGTCGCTCCAACAGGCGGAAAAAAACCACACCCAGAGCCCAATAGAAATTAATTCCCTTAAGCTGTCCACTTCTTCAGCTTTGGCCGAAACGCAAAAGAATTTGTATTTAATTGAACTTTTGATACGCTCTCAAAGGGTATTTACAGCTAGCCGGGGAGTGTGTAACGGCAGAGAAGAGATGAGGACCTTAGAGGTGTATTCTAGTCTAGCCTTTGGTTTCTTTTTACTTTATTGGCAGATAGCAGCTGAGAGGTGAAAGCAAGAGTTGGAATGTCTAAGCTTAAGTCTGGTTTAACATCATT